AGTCAGACCTTGGGGTATACTGATTTTATAGTTGTTGTGTCTGCCAATTATGTATCGAGTACAGTTGCTGAGGTATCTTTTTGTACTTTTCTGTTGGGGATGGGCCAGATTAAGAGGGGTGGTACGAGGGTGAGACTTGGCGTTGATGTCTAGATACACTGAAGACAGACCGCGGAGTTTGCACTTCAGAAGTGGCTGTTGATTATGTGCTTGATATTATCGCCGAGGTATCTTTTTGAGAGACTTCATATACTGTGAAAGATATATAAAGCTTCATTGAATTTACTAACTTCTATCAGTGATTTATACAAAACTTCTTAGATATTGCAAGATCACTTATAAAACTCACTAAGAACAACTTAGTATTTCAATAATCAGTGAATACTAAAGCTGTATTTATATAGATAAAGAAGATATTCATTAATACCTCTCTACTAATAATATTTAATTCTGATTATAAGACAGTTATTGAAGCTGATTTCTCTGACTATGTTATAAAAGAAGCTATATTATAATATAATAATAAAGATGTCTTACAATTATATAATTTCATATCTAAGAAACTGAGTCTCACTGAATACAACTATAAGATCTATAATAAGAAACTTCTTATAATTATATACTGTCTAAAAGAATGAAACTCTGAACTTTAAAATATCTCTGAATTTGAGATAATCACAGATTATAATAATCTTAAGTACTTTATAACTATCTATAAACTCACTGAATAACAGATATAATAATCTGAGTTCTTAAGTCACTTTCATTTTATAATACACTATCATTCTGACAGTCAGAACTCAATAACAGATGCTCTCTTATAATAAGAGTAAGATATATTATCTGATATAACAGATACTCACTGAATAAATTAAGAACATCAGCTTTTAGATTCAAAGATATTAATTAATTAAGATAAAATAACTTATAACACTATACATACTTCTCTGATTAGAACATCTTCTCTTTAAACTGATACTAATACTGATATCTTCACTTCTTCTACACTGAATAAACTGTGATATATAACAGCTCAGACTGATAAACTTCTTCAGACTCTTACTTAGACTAATCACTGAGATTATAAATTTCACGTTTGATCTTATTTGATCTGATCTCATACATTTCTTGACATGAATCTCACTGAGACTAGTCATTAAAAAAACATGCAAAGTGACTATATATAAGATCTTAAAATAGAATCATGACTTGAAAAAAATGAGAAAGTGATCTCATTTAGTTTCATTTAGTCTCACTCTTAGTATAAAGTTACTATTTTTAGACATTTTAAGGTTTTTTTTAGACTATTTTTAATTTTTTAAAAAGTAACACTTTTTAATAACACTCAAATGAGATTTAAAGTCATTTAAAGCAATAAAAATAATTTAAATTAAGAAGTGAAAATCATGATCTTATTTGAAAAATGTGATAAGAGTAGATAGTAAGTCTCACTAAGACAGTATGAAACTACTATCTAATGTTAAAACTGTGTAATGAGATTGGTCAAATTGATAATGAAACTATCAAAAAATCTGGTTCTGGTCTCAGACACAGTCACACGGTCAGTCTACTCTTACTAAAGTAGTATAATAAGAAGCATCTTAATTCTCTTCAGAATTATATATAAAGACTGACATCTTAAAATATTCAGTTAATAATAATAATACTCTGTAATTCTGTGAATAGTACTGAGTCTCTCACTCTGAACTCTTAGACACTTGAATAATACAAGAGATGTATAACTCATGTATAACTGAATATTCAGATTATAAACAACTGTATCAGATAATCTCTTAAGAATTCTACTAATCTGAGATATTAAACAGTATCAGATACTTTATCTGAAACTGTAACTATTATTTCTTCATCATCTTATAAAAGAAATATAGAAAAGATCTACTGAAATCACTTAATATCTCTAATAGAATCTGATGAGATGTAATAATTAACTTTACTATTAATCTCTCTAAGAGTAAGAGTTATAAGAATATTCTGATCATTATTAATTAATTAAGTAAAGATATAATATTAAAATCTTGTAATAAGATAAATACTGAACAAGTCACTAAAGTCTTTCTACAGAGCTTATTCTATCAGATATATAAATTACTGAGATCTATAGTATTATATTAAGACTGTCAATTTATAAGCATTCTCTAAATAAGAATCTGTTAAATTCTTAAGATTATATATTATTTATCAACTGTTTATCACTCTGAGACTGATAGTATATCAGAATAGATAATTCAGACTGTAAAGAATTATCTTTATAAGTTCTATAATTACTTATAAGATAATTAATATAATCTTCTTTCTCATACTGAAGTTACTATTAATGACTGAGATATTATTTCAATAGATATAAGCCTGTTCTTTCTCATATATAGATATTATATAAAAGTGTTAAATCTTCTGAAGATTATATAGTTCACACTGAACTCTTACAGTTCAATTCAGATCACTGATAATATAGTAATAAAGCTTCAAGATATTTATAACTGAGTAAAAGCCTTCATAATAAGCACTAAATAAGATTAAGAAGATTAAGTTAATATTTAATAAGATTCTATAGAGCAGTATAAGATAGAAGATCTGATATAATTAAATCTTGAAAATATATAAATCACACACTTATCTCATACACTGAATTACTGTTATATAAAGTATAAAGTGATAGAAGTTCTAGACAGTTATAACTACTATCTTAACATATTATCAGAGATTTATAATATCTTTATATAAGCTTACTTTATCATACTACTATTAATTCATTCTCTTTTTAACTGACTTTTGACTGACAGCTGTCAGAGATCATAGAAGAAAATAATAAACTTAAATAAGAGATTAAAGATATTCTTAATAAGAGATTTCACAGTTATAATTAATAATATTTTATAAAATAAGTGAGTTATAATTATCTGATCTGAACTCTGAGCTCTGTATTATCTGAAATAGTAACTTTTAATTAATAAGAACTGCTTTTAAAAAGAGAGAACTAATGTAGTAAGCTGCACTTAATCAATTATATAGATTATTTCATTATACTTTACAGATTTCTACTGCTTTAATTCTCAGTCATCAATTCTCTGCTGAAAAACCTCTATTACTTTAATTCTCAGTTGCTAATTCTCAGCTGAAAATCTATGAAATTTCTATTCTTTTACTCTGAAGCTTCACTGTATACATCACTGTGTACATGTATAAATATTTACTTCAATTACTGATTTTCACACTTTTTCTTTTTTTTCTTCTCTAATATTTTTCACTTTATTATATAAGATTTATATATTATACTAATCTATTCAGTATAGACTTCTTATAATATTTATATAATAACTATGTATTATTTGTACTTGAAAATTATAATTTAAATAAATTATTATATTAAATTATTTAAATATATTTATATTTAATAAATTATTTTTCAAAATTGAAAATTTCAAGAATTTTCAATATTTTACTTGTAATTTATAAAAAAAATTATAATAAAAAAATAAAAAAATTCTTAAAAATTAAAATATAGAATTCTTATATAAAATAATTTAATATTTATTAAATTATTATATATTTATATAAGAATTATTATTTTCAATAATATATAATACATATTTCTTAATTTATAATAAAATATTATATATTTTATTTTACTGTATTTTATTTTCTAATTAAATCTATATTTTAATCAATTTTAACTATATTATAATAATTTTGAATTATATTATACTATAAGTCTTGATATTTATAGATTATAAATTAAAAAATTAAAATAATGAATATTTATTGAGATATCAACATTTAAAGTTGATTATAATTGATTTACAAAGGTGAGCATTAGGTGGAAACAAGCATTAGGTGGTTGATTACATTAAGAGAATCAGAAAGCAAGCCGGCTCAAAAAAATAAAAACTTTAAAAAAGAAAAAAAAGAAAAGGCTCAATCAAATCAACACTCTACCACGCCATTTGACCCCGTTACTGACCACCTAATAATATTAAATAAAATAGGCTGGTTGGAATTGGTATTTTTGAAATGAACAAAATTTCTGGTTTCCAGGCCTCAATTGGCCTTTTTGACGATGTTTTTTTTCTTCTACAGCGTATGATATGGCCTTATGGCTACAAGCAAGTACCGGTACCTGTGATCTTATGTCGGTACTGTATTAGTGGTAAACGGGTAATTTTCGGTTTCGTTCCAAATCCAAAAATATTCGGCTTCCTCAAGCACTAGCGTAACTTTTAGTAATGGGTTATGGGCCTGTACCTAGTACTGTGATACGTATTGTGACGTACCAATACATCCTGACCTTCTGTCAAGCCTTAGGCGTTCGTCGTTTAAACCTCGCTTGGACTTCATATTTTCCTCTCTCGTGTCTGCTTCTTCTTCATCTCTCCTCCGCCAGACACCACAATTCCCAGCCAACAATCTCTCTCTTGCAGGAATCCCCGTGTGTCGTGTGAGTGTGTCAACGAGATGCCTTTGCAGCATCTCGCCCGGGATTGCTAAGCCAGACCACCCTCCTCTCCCGGCTCCTCTCGGATCTTGGTATGTTGCTGGCTGTATCTTCCTCCTCAACCCCCTTATTCGTGCCCTATCCCAGCTACACCGCTTTGCTCTACTACTTTTTTTTATTTTTATTTTTTTATTTTTTATCTCTTTTGCTCCGATCTATCTCTGTGTTGATCTGTTTCACTCTTTGGACGTCTCTGTCCATCAATTGCCTTTACGCTCTAGATAACTAACTTGGTGAGGCGTTGGCGCTGGCTCTGTGCGTGGGGTTTGGCAGATAGGCGAATTTTGTTCCTGCCTCGTTCTTCTGTGCTACTTCCAACTTCCTCTATAGCACAGCTTCAGTCCAGTTGCGAAAACAGCGTGCGCAGTGTAGCCCTATGTCCGCTGCCCTACCCGCGTCGCTCGCCCACTCTCCCGTAACCTAAATCCTAAAATTCAACACCGGGTCTCCATTCGTCAATCCACGGCCCGTCCAGTCTTTCGATCCTGAGATGCCTCGTCGACCTAACAATCCTTTCACCAACAACTCCCCTTCTTCGCCGCCGTCCTTTTCGTCCGCGAACGAAAAGGGCGGCATTCCTACTAACCAGGCACGGTCTTCCTCTGCGAAACCTAACCGATTGAGCCAGCTCTTTTCAACTTCGCCCAAGGGTAGAATAGAAGCCCAGACGGCTGCTCAAGCCGCGCTCATTGCTGCAAGCGGAGGCTCCCTCAACAATCCGAACACTCCTCAGATTAGTTCGCCGTCGCTGTCCCTACCCACTATCTCTCTTTCCACCGCAACTGCGGACAGTACCAACATGGACGTGCCTCCAACCACTCTCTTTCAACCCCCATCGGCGGGGGAATCCCGTCGCCTAGCTAGGCAACACGCTCAATTTGGCCCTATCGGACACCCTAGTCACCGATATACCTCGAAGCACCAAGGGGGTGAATTCCCTGAACCTATTATGGATGAGCCGCCGTACTACTATCTTTTTACCACCTACATCAGTTACCTAATCCTAATAGCTTTTGGCCACGTGCGCGATTTTTTTGGGAAACGATTCAGAGAAGAAAACTATAGACATCTCAAACCTAGGAACGGATACGGCGCGTTAAACAGTGATTTTGACAACTTCTACATCCGCCGCCTCAAGCTGCGTATTAATGATTGTTTCGAGCGGCCGGTAACTGGGGTCCCTGGAAGATATATCACGTTAATCGATCGGACCAGCGATGACCACAATCGCCACTTTCGCCTTACTGGCACTTACACCGACACTTTGAATATGAGCTCATATAACTACCTTGGTTTTGCACAATCAGAGGGCCCCTGCGCCGACGCAGTTGAGGAAACTATTAAACGATACGGTATCAGCTCCGTTGGCACCAGGGCGGATGCCGGCACCCAGGACATCCATGTCGAAGCGGAAGACCTTGTTGCCAATTTTGTGGGGAAGGAGGCTTCCATGGTGTTTTCCATGGGCTTCGGGACGAATGCTAGTGTTTTTTCAGCTCTAGTTTCAAAGGGATGCCTGATCATTTCCGATGAATTGAATCACGCGTCAATCCGTTTTGGTGCGCGTTTATCGGGTGCGTCCATCGAAATCTTCAAACATAACGATGTGAAGGCGCTGGAGAAGAAATTACGAGAGGTCATTTCCCAAGGTCAGCCGCGTACGCATCGCCCGTGGAAGAAGATCCTCGTTGTTGTTGAAGGGCTTTATTCCATGGAGGGGACCATGTGCAACCTTCCCGGCATACTTGCGTTAAAGAAGAAATACAAGTTCAACCTTTTTATCGATGAAGCGCACTCAATTGGTGCAATCGGACCTAGAGGAAGGGGTGTTTGCGATTACTTTGGCGTCGATACGAAAGATGTGGATATCCTCATGGGCACGCTGACCAAGTCCTTTGGCGCCAATGGTGGTTATATCGCCGCGGATAAAGTCATTATGACAAGCTACGAGC